CAATTTTCTCCCAATGATATCCATACATTGTCAAGAGACTAGGTTATGAGAATTAATAAAATGATCACCTAAGAGAAAATGACTTGATCTTTTATCAAATTCTCTCAACTCATTCTTTAAGGAAATATATAGAGATCAGTTTGGAGAATTTGTATGTGGATATTGGGGCTTAAAGGGTTAATGGCGTTTTTGACTGTCCTTAATTTCGTGATCACACTATCTGTAACACCAAGTAAACAGCCACAAATTTGAACTTAAAGTCTGCAATCCCTTAACAATGTGCAGTAGCATAAGGTGAAATTGATGGGGAAGTTTAAAATTAAATAACTTTGAGCAGACCAACCTGTTCTTCGTCTGATGAAAGTTCCTCATCATCTCCAAACAAGTCAGTGGATGACAGCTGAGTCTGAAGCTTCGGCTTTGCAACATCCTTTCATTAAAAATAAAAGTTACACTTTTTACAATACAGATAACAAATCTCGACAACTTATCTGCCAATAAGCAGCTTGGCGTATCATTGATGACTGGCCAGGAGTAACAGTAGAATACTCGGCCACTCATAAGCTGGACCTAGAAATGTGGCTATGCGGCTATACAGCTACTTGGTTACAAGGCAGCAGCTTCATGATTAAGAGGCTAACTAGCTGGTAGACGCATGAGGTATATCATTTGAGTGGCTAGGTATTCTGCAATTAATCAGACGACTGACAGCAGGGGGAAGTATGAACAACTGATGTTACCAGTTACATGTATGGTTCCTCATCTGTTGCATGTGTTGTCCACCACAATAAATGGTGTCTGGTGTGAATAAACCATGTAGTGTGTACCGTTAAACCGTATGGTCACACTGTTGTTCACCCCTGAACTTGTCAGTTCGTGTGACTGGAATGGTGTTTCAACCAGCCTGAAGTCTACCGTTGAGTACTTTAAGATTAATTTTGTATAGACCTGGACACTAATCGTTCTATCAAGTGACATCATTTCTTACTTCATTATCTTTCTCGTTATCATCATCCTCTCCTTCTTGAACCGAGTTTTTTCTTTCTTCTGTCTCTTCACCGCTTTCCGCTTCTTCTTTGTCTGACTCAGAATCACGCGCACCGCCACCTTCAACCTCCTCTTCTCCTTCACTGGGTGAATCACCGAACAGCTCGTTCATTTGAGCATCCCGCTCTGATTTTTTAGGTGGTTTTGTGGCTTTCTCTTCCTCATCGCTATCCTCTAAATCGCTGCCAAACAAAAAGTCCTCCATCGACATCTTGACGACTGGGACAGTTGTCGTAGGGCGCAGAGAATAGGTTTGGTCAGCGTTGTTCTAGTTCAAATCTGTGACGTCGTGTAAGACAACTGTACCTTCATTTGCTTTTTCTGTACCCCCGGGCCCAGTTCTTGTTGGCCGATCAGCGCTTAACCCGGGGTTAAATTTAACCCTGGTTTCCTTTTCTTGTGTTCAAAAGCATTTTCTCGGATAACTTTCTCTGTTATTTTAAGAGCTTCCAATCATCAACTTGTAGACAAAAAGAATTAAAACTGAAATGCTTTTGAAGCTTTAAAATCTTAATTCAAATTTCGCACTAGCCCTGGGTTATCTGAACCCAGCTTTGAACAACTCGGCCCTGATCTGAATTCTAGCCTCACACTCAGGGAAACGCCAGTAAAGAGAGTAAAAGAATCCACATTGTCCAATCCGAAATTTCCGCAGGATCTTTGAATTTCAGCTGGAATTCCTCCCTCCATATAGTCCATATAATAAAAAAGCCCCTCAATATCTTCTCAGGCATAAAGAACTCTATATTCAAAAATTATTCTTGTAAATACTCGCTTGTGTCTTTATATGTACAGTTAAAAGATTTAAACTCGGAAAATTGTCTGTAGCCGAGCGACACTAAACAAATGCTTGGTCTACTGGATGACAATCCTAGCTTAAAAGCGGGAGCATTTTTCAAAGAGTAAATCTTTTAAATTATTTACTTTCTTGATGTCATGAAATTGTAGCCAAAAAATATTCTTGCCCCAGTTTTTTCTTCGACCGACCTTTTGAAGTTTGGAAGAGTACTTGGAAAAATTTTGAAACGAGCGGGTCCGAGCGAGCGTAATACTCAGTTTTGGCGCGTAAATCAAAGAACACTTGGGGAAGTGGAAAAGTCAAGACACCACCACAAGGCACCAAGTAAGAGGCACTAATAGCAAGAGCTGAAATGGGATCAGCACTTTTCTAGAACAACTCTGGCTGTTGAAAATGTTTAAACTTTCTTAGTTTTAATCGGATTTTGTTTTTTGGAAGTCTTTCTTTGATTAGAGAGATTTTATTCAGCACGTAGGTTTTCATACTAGCCAACTACTGCAATTTTATAGTTATGGTATGTCAGTATAAAGGTCCACGACTGAATTAGACTTGTATCGAAGCCGACTGACTTTTTTGAGCGAGATATTTTAAGTCGCGAGAAGCCGTCCGGTTCCCTCCTGACAGGTAACCCAATCAAAATGATCGAATGCAATGATCGAATCAACAAACTTTCAGATTCGTTTAAAAAAATGAGGCTATTTTAGTTGATGTGTTGAGTAGCATTCTTGACTCCCTGTGTGTAAAATTCTCCCGAATCTCCCCGTCCCCATGCAAAAATCCAACATTATAGTGTTCTCTATCTAATTTTCTTTGGCTCTATATATTTTACTCTTTTACATAATTTCTTCTTATTTTTATATCGACCCGATGGCATCCCTGCCTAATTTTTGGCCCCTCGATGAGACGAATTTTTTTAGACTAAAAGAATGACTACAATATTTCTCTTAATGTATGACTCCGAACTTCTTATCAGAGATTCTAATGTTTATGTCTTTGCTTGTACCCCCAGTATCACTAGTATCTAGACTGGGTTTGGCGGGTTGGGATGTTGGTTCAGAAGAAACATCAAACCTTTTTTATTTCGTCAACTGCTTTTATTATCATTTCATTAAACGTTACATTACATATCTTTAAGAGTGTTCTCCTCCTAATGTGCTTTTCTTGATGGTTTAACTTGGCTTAACAATCTGCATTTAACACTTGAATCTCTGGTTGAGGACATTGCACTTGGCAAGGGAATTTTTCACAGCTTCTTGAAGATCCGGAAGCCAGTGTAAGTATTCTCCCTTGCACAGGACATCTTGCTGTTACTGCTACAGCTACGAGGACGAAAGTAGCTGCTATACCTCATAAGCCAGGTACTCGAGGTGTAGAAGGGATATTTGAGGCCCACTACGTCACCATATTGCACCGGTGTACCATCCACTGCGTATCTCGAGTAAAGCTGGAAGGTGGCGTAGTAATAGTAAAGCCAATTGTTCCCAGTCATTGAGCTGGTGGTCCTGTTGGAAAAAAGGAAAAAGAGGATCCAAAGATTGATAAATGAACATACCATTAGTTAGAACATTCTTTTACTTATTGGTGAAGCAAAAGGCAGCGCGGTTTACTTACGATGATATTCTGCAGTACCAGCTAGACGATGATGTGCACCTCAGATGGTAGCTGGAACCGTAGGCATAAGACCTCAGTGACACCGTGTCTCCACTGTTGATGGGTTCTCCATTCTTTTTTCCCATCGCTGTGATGTAGAACTTTGTATATGAGTTACAGGAAGACCATAATGATGGCGTCATACTCCGACTACCAGAGCAAGAGTACCAGTGGCAGTAACTAGTCGTGCAACGCATCAAGTAACTGTAGTAACTGCTGTGCGCTGTTCGCAGCACAATAAGGTCCCCACTCTTAATAATAGGATATCTGTAGACTTGTAACAAGAAAACACGTAAAATTAATTTCACGTTTGTTGTAAGAAAAATGGCGAAAATAAGTGATTAGGTGCTTCGACCTGCTTTTAAATGGGGCCTTTTGTTTTGTAATCTGTCATCATATATCTACCCTACCATTTTACTTCAAATTTTTCATGTCCCGTGAAACTTTAGCAGATAACAACCGATGTTCAAGCATTTTTTCTTTCAAATCAAATGTCTCTTACCTCTTGATAAAGCGGTCCAGACATCTTCTACATTGCTCTGCATTGTTACATATACAGAGCCACTCAATCTCACTCTGCCGCTTGAAAGACTGACGGAAGCTAATGACTTAACGCCATCCGTCCAGATTAATGCCACAAAAATATATAAGCCGAGAAACTTCATGCTCAAAAAGTGCTTTGTGATCACTTGAACANAAATGGGGCCTTTTGTTTTGTAATCTGTCATCATATATCTACCCTACCATTTTACTTCAAATTTTTCATGTCCCGTGAAACTTTAGCAGATAACAACCGATGTTCAAGCATTTTTTCTTTCAAATCAAATGTCTCTTACCTCTTGATAAAGCGGTCCAGACATCTTCTACATTGCTCTGCATTGTTACATATACAGAGCCACTCAATCTCACTCTGCCGCTTGAAAGACTGACGGAAGCTAATGACTTAACGCCATCCGTCCAGATTAATGCCACAAAAATATATAAGCCGAGAAACTTCATGCTCAAAAAGTGCTTTGTGATCACTTGAACAGAATGGAAGTCGCTTAACGAAGACTGATTTTTTTAAGAGCTTATGTGGCTTTTACGAGATGTTTCTTACGCATTAAATGCGAAACAAGTTTAGGGATTCCAAGAACATGTTTCGGGAGAGGTACTTGACATGATTGAAAGCTAAACCAGACAATTAGCAAAATCATCATGGCTTTATAGATAGCTATTGATTAAGTTAGGAAGTCGACAAACAACAAATGAATAGGATGTCAGTTTGATGCAAATTTGTTACCCTTTTTGTCGAATGTTTGTGTTGCTTTCAATACAAAACTTTCCCATCAAAAGTAAAATGCTTAAGAGTACTAACGAATTCATGGCCATTTTAAGACGAACTAAACTAATAAATTAATAAATTTAGCATTGTTTTGGAGAAAATTTATTACCGATCTGATGCAGTTGATTGGTTCGATGCGTCCTAAGTTCGAGGCCGGCTGACCCGACAGATGATCTTAATTTAATTTAGGTCAACCTAAATTACAGTTTGGTTCAGTTCGCCTCACGAAATGTTCGACGTTTGGCCTAGGCCTAAACCCCAGCAACTGGGGACTATTGCATCATGTATTAAAGTTTTGGAGACCATGAAGAACTATGGGACATTCAGTACTAGGAGGACGGCTGTATAAGGGATCAAGGATTTGGCATACGTTTTAATAGTTTGTATCGCCCCCTAGCACCAACCCTTACGCACCCTGAGAAGCACTGGTGAAATAACCTATCACCTAAACTTACGTAACCTACTCTCCTGGACATACAGCCCGCAGTTTAAAGTGCTGAAAGCTAAATGAATAAGGTCGATTTTGATCTGCGTTTTTAGAGGAAGACTAAGTTATAGTAAATGACGGCAAATCACTTGAGGGAGACGTTGCTTTAAAATGCGAATCTCGCAGTTTCAGAACGTTCTTTGAAAAAAAGGCGAGGCCATCGTCGATCACTAAAGAAGAGGCATCATTACTTATAACGGGACGGAAACTTGTGGGAGAAGGGGCGAAGTAGGAAAAAAATATTCGCGCAAAGGAAAATTAAATGAAAAAAGTCGTGCCCGCCAAATAACCCAAAAAAAATATTAATGCGCCTGAAAAGAATCATACAAGGAAAATGAGAACGAAAAAAAAATTCATGCAACTCGAAAGTTCTCCAACCCCCATAACTTTTCTGATGGTCCGAGTCCCTAATGTTAGAACGTAGTACTATAGTTGGGTGCAGGCAAAACGTTTTGGATTAATCTTTCTGCTTTAGTTTCTCTCCTAGTAGTGCCTTCTTAGAATGCTCAATGAGCCGCTCGGGATGATCAGGGAAAATTATGCAAAGGGAATGTGAATACTGAAAAAAAAAGGAACAACAAGAAGATGATTCTTCATGGTAGGGTTACGGAATAGACTAGGGATCATGACCGAAACTACACGGATCGGTTTGTCTTCTCAAATGTGCGAAATCAGTGAAGTACCATTACACGTGCAGGGCTCATTCCTCAACTTCTTTATTAAGTTGCAAAAACTGAGAAAAATAAAGGTATCCCTTAAGACTCTTAAAGACATTTCACCCAAGCTCCTTTAGTCAACAAACTAATCCGTTTATGTTCAAATTTATGTTGAGGAATTCATGCTGACTCTTCTGTCACGTTACGACTTCATCTTAAAGATTTTGAAGCCTGTGAAAGTGTCCTCTTTTGCGCAAGAGATTTTGTCATTTCTGCTACAGCTACGCGGATAAAGGAATTTGCCGCTTCTGGTCAGCCATGCTTTGCTGGAACTGAATAAGTACTTGAGTCCCACCACATCGCCATACTGCACTGGGTTCAAATCCTCTGTGTCTCTAGAAAATATTTGAAAAGT